CTAAAATGTACCAATGATTAGAATGAGTAATCGATAATGTAAAGTAGGAAGAAAAGGTCCAAAGGGCTGGGGGTAGTGGGAGGGGCAGGGGAAAGGAAAGAAGGGAAAGGAAAAATGCTGAGAAATTAAAAAAAATGGAAATAAAGTCTTTGTAAATAGGGAAGGGTGGAGGGCGTGAAGGGAGGGCTAGGCATGGACAAAGAATAAGAACCAAGATGCATCATGTAAAGGTACAATTCCCACTGAGAAATGTAATTGTGTTGTATACCTACAATGTACCAATAAAAGAATTTAATTTTAAAAAAGAATAGCTCTCTAACAAACTGAGTTCTAAACTTATGAATATAGATAAAGCATGCAAGTTAATATGAAATTTTAGTAGCTGTTAAATTACAGAACAGGGAACTTGAAGGAGAAAATCATAAGACTTGGTTTACTCAAATCATTTGACAACTGAATTATCCATGTTTTGGGTTACTTATAGCAAAATTAAAAATACAAAACAGATTCCTTTATCACCTAGCATACATCTAGCTGCTTCTCATCATGACTTGAGATATACAAAGACATGACTTAATTTGATTTAGTCCTGGCACAAGCGACAGGAGAAGCACCATATGGATTCAGACTCTCTCTGCCTCCCTCTTGCAGAGATGTCCCTGCACCATGAAATCAGGTCTGCTGTCTCTGCGGTGAGCAGCTGCTGCTGGGACAGATGCCAGGTGCTTGTTTGTCCCACTGACAAGTGTGTGCTTAAGTGTGTGATCCTCAATGAGGCACTCATACGCCCACATCTGCCCATGAGTTATGTGCTGGCAACAAAGCATACAACATCAATCTGACCTATATTCTGAGTACAGATGGAAGGAAGTCATTTTCTCCTACCTCACTGCTGTCCCAACAAGGAAGATGATGATATGCCATGTTTTCTTCTTCCTTGAAATATGCTAAATCTAGGCACTGTACTACCTATGTCTACATACATCAATAAATTCATGCAGTTATCACAATTCTGAAAAGGGGAAGTTAAAAATATGTCTAAGGAAGCCACAGGAATTCCCCAGGTCTTCTGAGTCTCCTTTCAATGCTCATCCATCAGACCAGTTATTTCTATGCTGTAAATATTTAAGTACCACATCTGGGTCAGTTACATTTATTGAATAAGGTTAACAAGTATCTCTTGAAAAATGAGAGCTACAGGGACTTTTTAAAAAAATTGTGAATTTGTTTCCTTTCTTTATAGTAACACATATTAGTGTGATCTTTACTTAACATGTGTAAGTCAACAAACTAACCATAGTATTTCATCAGATTAACCCCTCCCCCTGGCATCAAACCCAGGGCCTCATGCATGATAGCCCAGTGCTCTACCACTGAGCTACTTCCCCTGCCCAGTATTTCACCAAATTAATAAGAATTAAATCAGCTACTATCACTAACCTCAGCCAGGTAGCTCTCCATGCTGCTGATTGAAGGCTTTGGGTTTAATGGAGGAACCGCAAAGTTTTCTCTGGGAAGAAAACTTCTTGGGAACACCAAACTATGATGAAGATTTCCAACACAAGGATATTCTAGGAGAGGTTTTGTATTAACACTGCTCAGTAAAAATGGGTTTTGTTGTTGTTCCACCAGAATTTTGTTATTGGCCTCTTGTAGCCTTCTATTAGCCCTGTAAAGACTGCAAAAAACAAATACTAAGTATCTCAAGCAAGTGTGCTCATTGAGGCAGATGGGTGAGTGTAGAGAACATTCTTGAAAACTTAGGTACAAACAGTCACATGCTTTGCAGCACAAAAAGCTACACTGTTTGCACAGAAGTTTTGATATATTGGGAAGGAACATGGTACAGTACAAAGAATTACTATTGCTTGAACAGAACATTCTGTGGCAAAAACATGGGGTGGGGAGGGTGGGGGCTTGGCAACAGACAAAGCCCTGCCCTGTTGTGCCTTACTTCTTTACCACCTTAACAGTGAAAATGTATCACAGCGCACCTATCACAGGACAATTAAAAGTGTTCTAAAGAAGTACATATATTTGTAGTGGGATTGCTAACTAACAAGCAATTCTAACAAAGCGGGAAAGAGGGAAATGGCTGCCAGTGGTGTCTGCCTTAACAGGAAACACTGCTACCTCCTATAAGAGCTCTACTTACAAGATTCCTGAGGAAGCCACTAGAAACACTTGTATTTAAAGGATCACTATGAGAGATAATGGATAGGTTAATTAGCTTGACTGCAGAAGCCATTTCATTCTGTATAAATATATACATCTGTAATCCCAGCACTGCGGGAAGCTGAGGCAGGAGGATCACAAGTTGGAGGCAAGCCTGGGAAACTTAGTGACTGAGACTGAGACTCTGTCTCAAAATAAAAAAATAGAAAAAAGGTACTTACGTATGTGTGTGTGTGTGTGTGTGTGTGTGTGTATAACATACAGACATAGGAAAACATGTTGTACTCCTTACATATATACAACTCAAAAGTAAAACTGAAAAGTTAGAAGTGTTTGTATTTAGTTAACCAGTTTAGGGGTTTAAAAAACCATTTCTTAAAAGATATTTTCAAGCGGTTGCTTTCCCACCTGCATATTTGCCCCATTACCTGGCAATGAGAAAGTAATTCAGAGCAACCACCTCCAGGGAAGGAGACTGCAGGCTCAGTGATCACAAAGAACCAGGGCTGCTCCTGGCCAGACACCCCTATGGAGGCATGGCAGGTGGGCCCACCTCTTCTGTTTTCCACCTGCCTTTCACACTAGTTCACACTAGCGAGCTATACTTCTGCTCATCCCTGTGTGAATCTTTCCCTATATCACAAATATGACTTTATGTAGAATAGAAGAAACATACAGCACAGTTTGTCTCCAGGCCTCCTCTAGTGATAGATCACAGTCAAAAAAGTTATTTTATCAAGTGGCAGAATGTGCCCAGAGGAGCAGTATTAGTAGTACTTGACCTTCTGGGTTTATGTTGTAATCTTCCAAAACTAAAGTTAGTAATAATTCTACCTAAATGAATGCCAACATGTTATGTTATAACTGTCTTAAGTATAAGATGTAAAAAAATAGCTGAATGATTAGATTACCTACATAAGAATAGTAAAACCAAGGTGGACATGATGGTACACACTTGTAATCCCAGCAATCTGGAGGATGAGGCAGGAGGATCGCCATGAATTGGAGGCCAACTTGGGCTACATAGTGGGTTCAAGGCCAGCCTGGACTACAAAATGAGACCTTGTCTCAAAAAGCCAAAAAGCAGTAAAAGGGGGAAGAAATATAAACTTCTTTAGACTAACATTTTGAAGATAAGTTCATTTACTTAGTTTATTTTCCAAAATTATACTGTCTACTTCGCATTACATCCTACTAATTTCATGAACCTGTCTCTAAAAATTATGCTTGAGAGACAGATTAATGAGGTTAACTTACTTTCTATGATTCTGTTTTGACTTACTTGTTTGGTTCACTGGACAATGACTCGCTACTCTTCAATTCTAGATAGCATTGGCTATATTTTTCCAGTTCAATTTTATTAAACTTTCCTTGAGGTTTCATTTTAGAGACCTCTGCTTGGAGGTCTTCAATTATGAGTTCCGTCTGACTTCTCATGGAAGCATTATTAGTCTCTCTTAATTGCTGGAAAATTTCTTGAGATGCTGCTTGTATCTAAAGCAAATTAAAGGATATATTTAAAAATAATTATAACTCAAACGCAAAAGGTGATCAAAATATGCAGTGAATGTTTCAATTCAAAAATTGTATTACAGTAAAAAACATAATGCCATGAATCCCCTTCAAAATACTTCCCCTCCATTTGAATAACTTATCCTGTAATTCTTGCCACTTTCTGAAGCAGTTCTCGAAGTCCTCTTTCATGAATGTCTTTATAAGGTTGATTAAAAACACAGTAAATGCTGCTGCTGAGTGCCATCCAATGGAAAGGCAGGCTCAGAACAACATTATGATGTATCCTCATCTACCTTAGCCAACAGATCTGGCACTATGTGACTTCAGGCTCTTTCCCAAAGTCAAAATGACCATGAAAAGAAAACATTTTGCATCAGTTCAGGACATCAAAACAGCCATGACAGCACAACAGAGGGTGCTCATGAAAGAAGACTCCAGAAGTGCTTCAAAAAGTGGCAGAAATGATGGAACAAGTATGTTCAAAATGAGGGAGAATATTTTGAGGGGAACTCATGGCAATGTGTCTCTTTTATTGTGATAAAATTTTAAAAATATTTAAAGCATTCGCTGTATGTTTTGATCATAATTCATAGTTATTTTGTGTTTATTTCCTTTAGTTTTGAGCCAATGACTCAGAAAGGAATTTTATATATGTAAAAAAGATGCTGAAGGGCCAAGGATTTAGCTCAGTGGCACTGTTGCCTGCCTTGCAAGTGCAAGGTCCTGAGTTTGATCCCTGGTACTGCAAAAAAATAAAAGGATGCTGGAATTTATTATCAACATTAACTGCATTAGATCTGAATTATAAAAATTTTGAATCTTTTTTTTTTCTTCATGGTGCTAGGAATCCAACCCAGTGCAAGGCAAGCACTCCACCTCTGAGCTCCCATCCTTAGTCTTTTTTTTTTTTTTTGGTACCAGGGTTTGAACTTGGGACCTTTCGTTTGTGAGGCAAGTGGCAGAACCACTGAGCTAAATCCCTGGCCCTCCCATCCTTAGTCTTGAATAATTCTTAATACTCCTGTAATCTGATCATTCAAAGATAGAAATAATTTAAAAACTCAAAGACTTAAGGTGACAATTTAATAGTACTGTATAACTGTCACACCACAAGTTTTTCTTTGCTCTTAACAGTTTTATGTCCATTAGTCTTAAAAATGAAATGACTCTCTAATAAATATCATTATTCTGAGAGATCAATTTAGTTATAATGAAACGGAAATATTTAATCGAAGATACAAGATGTCATCTTCCTCCTAGAAAACCCACAAGTCAAAAGTTATAAGGGAAGAAGAAGAAATATATACAATGTAAACATTCAAAATATAATTTTCATGAAATTATTTCAGCACATTAAAGATAAATAAATAAATTAACCTGTGAAAATAGATTGACTTCTTTTAATTTTTCTACTAACTCCTGGCTGACTCTTTCTTCAGTCTCTTGCTTGTACTGTTCTGCTTGGCCATGTTTTACCCCATTCTCCTCTACGTGATTTCTCAGGTTAACTACTTCTTCTTCCAATTTCTTTTCATTCTTCTCTAGTGTTTCACATTTCTTTTGTAGTATATTTTTCATGGATAATAACTCCTGCTGGAGAAAATCACTTTTATCCAGATGTAGACATTTGAATGATGCAGTTTCCAGTTTTGCTGCAAGATCATCAACCTGCATGAATAAAATAATACAGGTTGGTAATGAAGGAAGTAGGCTGAAAATAGAATCAAAATTTCTGACATAGGGCCAGGTATTTAGCTCAGTGGCACAGCACCTGCCTCGAAAATGCAAGGTCCTGAGTTCACTCACTGGTACTGAGAAAAAATCTGACATAAATTCACTGTTAACAAAACATTAACCATACTAGATTCTTAGAAGATATTCCCTTGAATTACTCAGAAAATCCACACAGTTGAAACCAGAAGGAGTCACAAAAATATAGTTTACACTTATTATCTTTGTCACAAAACATGTGCCCTTGATCTTGAATTCTTTGTTTTTCTAGGAGTGTTTCATTTCTGTCCTTCTTAACATGGCTCTGAGTCAGTCACCTCTTAGTAGTACAACGAATCAATGCTACCAGAGTAAGCATTTGAAAATAAGACTTTAATTAATGACTCTGGTATGTATGGATTTTAGTTATAAGCCTTTTTCTGAATTGCAAATGTTTGATGTTAATTAGAATTACATTCTAGAATATCTCTGGATTGGACATAAGTGGAAGCAGAAAGGACCTAGAAAAGAAAGCAAACCCAAAGAGCTCCAAAAGGATGGTTAGTGGAAGAGGGGTGGCCCTCAAAGAGGCAGAGAGGAAGGGCTTTGAGGCCAGCAAAGGAAATGATACTGGTACATAATGAGAGAGGACTCCCACTGCACAGCAGGGGAAAGAAACACTGCTGAGAGATGAGCTAAAGAGAGACTTGCTGAAACCAGGATTTACTGGGTTCAAATATCTGCTTCTCATTTGTAGCCTCTCAACATGTCAAAGAATGCTAATGGTTTTGCAAAGTGACATTAATTTATAATAATGTGAAATAAAGCTAAAAGAAATGGCTTTTGGGATCAGATCAAATCCAGGGTGCTGCTGGGAACACATGGTCTGAAGATGAAGCCAAAGCCATGACTACAAAACCCTTCGGTCGGACTTCACAAAGATTTAAGGCTGTGCCTCAAATGCCCTTAAGGATTTAAGGGCATAAAAATCTTTTTATTTTTTATTTTTTTTGATCGAACTCAGGACCTTGTGCTTACGAGGCAGGCGGCAGAATCACTGAGCTAAATCTCCAGCCAAGGGCATAAAAATCTTTTTAAAAATTTTTTTCTAAGGGCATAAAAATCTTAATGGAATCACCTTAGTACAGCTTCACAGGAAGCCCAAGATGGAGAGCTTAAGTCAAAAAGATTTGTAAAAGTAGCTTCTCACAGGGCATGAATCCAATAAAATTTACAGAAAATGCAAAATTGTTAAGAAAATGTACTAGCAAAAGCACTACTCACCAGCTTGAACTAAGAGACAAAGCAGTAAACATGAAAGAGGACTTTGGATGTTGGAAGTTCTACATTTAGGAAGCAGGCTGAGAAAATCAGTCTGTTTGACTGGATTTGAGAATAGTTTTCCAGATATGACATCAGAAGAAAAAAATCGATTAACTACACTTTGTCAAAATTAAATACACTTGAAAACACACCACACCAAAAAAGTGAAAAGGTAAGCTAATGAGTGGCAAAAAATGTCTGAGAATCTTGTATCTGAGAAGGGATTTATGCCTGGGATATATAAAGGACTCATAATTTTAAAATAAAAAAAGACAACCCAATTTAAAAATGGAGAAGGAATTTAAATAGACATTTCTCCAATGAAGATGTACCACTGGCCAATCAGCTTATGAAAACACATGTGCTCAACACCATCCCCTTAGTCACCAGGAAAAGCCAAGTGAAAACCACAATGAGGAGTCACTTCACTAGAATGGAATCTTTCTTCCATCAAAAAGGACTGTGTGTGGCAAGGACGCAGAGAAACTGCAACTCTCATACAATGCTGGTGGAATGTGAAATGGCACCACCGCTTTGGAAAACAGGCTAGTACTACTACTTTCTCAAAAGGTTAAGCACAGAGTTATCACATGGCTCAGCAATTCTACACATAAGCCAAGAGAAAACAGGCAAACACGAAAACTTGTACATGTATAACCATAGGAGCATTAATAACTGTCGAAATGGAAACTATTCCCAAAGTCCATCAAGTGATGAATTAAAAATCCATTAAGAGGATATTACTTAGAAGAGGAAATTAAGTACTGACACCTGCTACAACACAAATAAATCTTGAAACCATGCTAAATGAAAGAAGACAGTCTAAAAGAAGCCAGAGCACATATCCTGTGAGAACTTTGATATAAAATGTCCCAAAGAAGCAAATCTACAAAGTACATCAGTGGTTCTCTGAGGCTGAGCAGGGAAGGTGATGGCTAAAGGTTATGAGCTTTCTTTTTAGGGTGGAAGAATGTTCTAAAACGGTGGTGATGATTGCTAACTTGGTGAGTATACTAAAAGCCACCAAACTGCATACTTTAAATGTCTGAATTTCAAGGCATGTCAACAGTATTTCAATAAAGGTGTAAACCCCCCAATTCATTTGGTACACATGATTTGGGGTCATGTAATGGTGTATAGGTTGGCTTTATATCATCAGCTGGGGCTTATGACAGTAGTATGTCTTTTTAATAGAAAAGTGTACATTTTTCATTGATATCAAGTCTATAAAGTAAAAAAAAGTTAATTTCACTGCTCAACAGACTGAGAGATTTATAGTTCTCCTAAGTAGTTTTTGTTCCCAAAACTAAATAAAAATTACCTTGTGTATTAGCATGTTAATTGGGATATCCAATTCATTGGATTTTAAATCTCCATGAAAACGGAAGTCTCCATTTTCCTGCTCATTTAACTTTATTTCTGTCATTTTATAAAGTTTCTTAAATCTGCAAGAATGTACAAAGTGAAGTTTTGAAAGATTGTTTAAACAGATATTATGTTCTATGATAAAACAAGCAAATCTAGAAATTATGATCCTTTTTCATTTGTTTCCATTATTTGAAAGTATTCTGATGGAATTATAATCTTAGATGAATAATATACAGAAAATTTGTGATATATGTATTACAGGTAAAGAGCTAACATTATAACCATATATAGGGTTCTTATAATTAATATCCACTTTGGTATGTTAACATAAAAATGAACTTATGATTGTTGGGTAAAGCCCAGTAACAAAGGAGAAAAAATATACTTATATAAAATCTACTTATATAGGAATGCTTAAAAGATAAGAAAAATGCACTTTGGCACCTTGAACCCATGATGAATAAGTACAGAAAGTGTGCACAAAAATCTGAAGGTGGACTGGAAGTGTAGCTCAGTGATAGAGCATGTGTTTAGCATGTGCAAGGACATAAATTCAATCCCAGACAAAAAGGTAAAGAAAAGGAAACAAAACAAAACATTGAAGAGATCATTCAAAGTAGAAAAATAGAGGAAATAGGATCTTTGAAACCTGAGTTGGAGAGGAAAAGAAAAGAGGCAGAGTTTAGGAGAAAGGAGATCAACGGAGAAATAATGGGTAGACTAAAAGGTTGTTTTAAGAAGACATTTCAGCTTTTGCCACCACAAGGTTGACAAAATGCAAGAGATGCAAAATAATGTAAAGACAGTTAAAGGAGAGAAAAGTATTGATTAGATTCATAACAAACTCGAGTTGTCCCCAAATAAATAGAAAAGCAGCCATGTTGGGGACTTCAAGACACCGGAAAACATTCCATTTTCTTCATCTGGTGGTAGAAACAGTCTCATCAGCAAGTCATACATACATTTTGTGTGTATGAAGCATATATACAGTCACCACTTTCTATCTGTAGGTTAGCCAATAGTGGACTGAAAATACTCAGAAAAAATCTGCATCTGTGTTGAACACATACTGATGGTTTTTTTCTTGTCATTACTCCCCGAATGATATAACAATGATTTATATAACATTTATATTATATTAGGTATTGTAAGTAATCTAGAGGTGATATAAAGTGTATGGAAGAGTTGAGTAGGTTATATGGAAGCACTACACCATGATATAAAGGAGACTTGAGTGACCATCGATTTTGGTATCTGAGGGAGTTCTGGAACCAATACTCTGACTACATCAAGAGATGGCTGTACATTATTTATGTAGTATATATGTGTGAAGAAACACACATATGAACACACACACACACACTAAGCAAACAGAAGGTTAATAACATGTATACCTCATGTACACATGGAAGTACCCATGCAAAAGAAATGTAATTCTGTGATAGATTTTATAAATCAAAGAGGTACAAAGAAAATGTAAGATAAATCAAGATTAATTTTAGTATTGTTAAAGAACGAGAGAGGCTGTTTTTAGCTTTAGTAAAGTTGGTGAAATCACTTAATGAATGGTTGATAAGATCTGACAAATAAAAACCTTACCCAGTTAGCTCTTTTCGTAATTCACCATTTTTCCTCTTTTCTTCATCCAAAGTATATTTCTGATACTCTGTTAATGCAGTAAATTTCTTTAACTGTTCTTTATCACCTTCAGACTTTGAAAAAACAGCTTAAAATTATTTTTCAAAAATCTAGAAATTCAGTCTTTCTTAAAAATATGACTTCTCATGAGTTCACAAATGTTTTAATGCATTGTATAAACCTGACACCAATAAGTACAGACTTCAAAAATAATTACTTCTCTTAACATAGCTCAAATTAACTTGTACTTTCATAATCTTTTCTGAAAACTGTACTGTCAAAATTAGTTAAAAGTTTTACAAATAAATGTTGATGAAAAAATATAAAAAGAATGGTTATATTTCCATTTTAGTTTCTAAAGATACCCTAGAAGCCTTTCCATCAATAACTTAAGTTTCCCAGATTTATTTAAACCATATTTTATCAAGACAAGTTTTGGAAAATATCTACCTGATTTCATTATATTTTTGAACCTCACTTGTCTTTGGCATGAGAAAGGTACTAATTATCTGTAATTATTCTCTCAGGAATTTATTTGCTGCCTTCTGCTTTCTTTCTTTTCTTTCTTTCTTTCTTTTTTTTTTTTTTTTGCTATTAAGCATTTTTCCTTAACGTTTAAGTCTTTTTGGTAATGTACAGAAATCTAACTTTTGCATGATTCTTGTGGCTATCATCTTGTTTCTCCTGTTCCACTGGACTCTTATATTCTCTTGACACATGGTCTCATCTACAAATTTAGTTTTTTAAATCACTTCTTGCACATTACAATCTGGTTTCTCTGCTGTAATTCCAATAAAGTAATGTGAGGGTCCATCAAGGACTTTTATTTTAATAGCATTCTTATCCTGCCAACTGCTTGGCAGCCTCTGCTCACAGTGATCACACTTCTTCTCTGCTCCTCTAGCCCCACTGCTCTCCTAAAGGCAACAGCTCAGTTTTGCCCCCTTTTCATTTCAGATTCTCAGAGGCCCTTAAATCAGAACCTTCTACTCTCATTACCTCATCGCCATTTCCACCCTGACCTCTGTTCAAGGGTCATTTACACAGTTACTTCTTCCTTGCAGTTCACTTCTCATAGAAAAAAGCCTCATCAGCCATTATTTGGTATGAGTTACTTCTGAGGAGAAGCCTACACATTTCATGTTGAGTCACATTGGTGTTACTTTGAATTTAGTCATTTTCTAATCTTGGGGAGGGGGACACTCATCCTTAGAATACTGACCAGCATAATTTATCTTGTTTTCTTTTATAATGCTACTTTTTCCCTGGGGTCAGATTGTTTCCCATTGTTTTCTTTCCAATAATTTCCTGTTCTATACTGTACTATTACCAATTTTTCAACACCTGAATATATTTGTGCATGACACTTAAGGTAAGAGTATATCTCCAGGCATTTTAATTCACAGAAAACTGTTTGTCATTATATTGATGTATTTGAAAAGTATGGCAGTAAAGCAGGACTAATTTATGTGAAATCTAGAAAACATTAGTTGTCCATGTTTCTTCAGTGAAACAATAGTCAGAACACTCTGGTGCCCCTGATAATGTGTCTTAGTTTGCTTTTCTCATTGCTGAGACAATATACCCAACACCCACAAGTTAAGGGAGGAAAGGTTCATTTAGCTCACAGTTTGTAGAGGTTTCAGCTCATAGTTGGCTGGCTCCAAGGCTGGGTGGCATGGCAGAGGGACATCTCAGAGGAGAAGACAAGCAGCAGCAGCAATAAGCAACAAGTGACAAGCCTTTTTCTGTCCCTTCTATTTTATCCAGGCTACCTACCTTTGGGGTGGGTAGCACTCACACCCTTAATCTTAGCATCATGTCCTTGATCCCAGAACTATGCCAAACAAATCAGTGGGCCAATTTAGTAATCACACACCCTTAATCCCAGCATCACGCACTAGATTCAGCCACGTGAATCTGAAAAGGCCCCACCCATGAACACTGAGGCTTTGGGGGACATCTAGACACAAGCCATAAAAACATGTGTCTGTGTAACGGAGCTGCGTGGACTAAGTTGCTGTGACTTTAAGAAATCAGTTAGTGTGGGCCAGGGATTTAGCTCAGTGGTTTCACCACCTGCCTCGAAAGCACAAGGACCCAAGTTCGATCCCACGTACCAAAAAAAAAAAGAAAGAAATCAGTTAGTGGAAGGAGCTGGCACACAGCTCCAAATCTGCATGCACGATGCATCCTGTGACCCTAATTCCTACACAGGACAGCATGAACAACAGGAGATTCTGCAGTGCTTGGTCAGCAGTTACATGGTTTTCATTATACATCAGCAAACTGTCACCAGACTTGTACATAAATCTGCTGGACTGTTATATCTTTGAGTAGCTGAAGAGCATAAATGGCTGGAAAAAATCCTGAAACTACAATGCTAGGACCGCTAGTTACTCTGTAAGAAAAACAGCCATTTCTACTTTTTTACTGACATCTTTTTCATTTTCTTATAGTCAAAGAGAAATAAATATTTCTTTGGGGAAAAAAAAGATTGTCTAATGACCTAGTATCTATTCTTGATAAGAATATAAATTAACAGTAATTTGTACTCTAAATCTCATGGAAAGGCTTTGATTCCAAGAGAAAGTCAAAATTCTAGATTACATAATTAAATTTTCTGGAATTTTAAAAGTTATTATAAAATATTAGCTAGGACTCCAAATATATAGTTATATATCAATGTCCAGAGCAGAATTATTTTCAATAAAATGTGGAAATAACTTTCAGGTCCTTCAAAGGATAATGGATAAACAAAATGTGGCATATATAAAATATCAATTTTTGACTCTCACAATCTTTCTTATTAAAATAGTACTGTCAAAGTCATTAATTGTATGCATTCAACTACCTTCTATAAAGTTAAGAGGACTTCACTACTAGCAGAGGCAGTAGTATCAATATGAGTATGACAGATATTTTTATCAATGAGATTTTTCTTAAAATATTTTGCCTAAAATATTCCTATATAAAGGCTAGCTCAGTGGTTTTGCCACCTGCTGCACAAGCACAAGGACCCGAGTTTGATCCCTGGTACCAAAAAAATAAAAATACAATAAAATATTCCTATACACTACTAGAGAAATAAAAACTCCTTTTCATTATGACAGAGATGAAAAAGAGACTGACTTACCAAATTTGTACTTAACAGGTTTTTCTGAAGCTGTTCAATTTCCCCTTTTTGCTTTTTTACTTCACTTTTTAGCCGGAAATTTTCAAGTTTAAGCCTAACATATTTATGGGAAAATAATTATTTTCATGGGCCTACTTTTAAAAATCAGATAATTGTTGAACATTTGAAAGAATACACACAATCTTAAAAACTGGGAAAAGTAGATGATTTAGTAATTATCATTATTCTATCAGTGGTTGTGGATCATTTTTCTTCTGCCACTGTTGTCATTGAACATGGGGCCTCATATGTCAAGCCCATGCTCTTACTATTGCACTATATGCACAGCCCTAAATTAAACATTTCAAGTAACTTCATTAAAGCTAGAATTTCACACAGCTTGATGGAAATTTGTTATCTAACTGACATATTTCTCATACTATATTGCTCATTTGCTTTATGAATGCTCGAGTTATTTGTATACTGCTTTAAATCATACTTTTGCAGGAGTCCTTGCAGCTTCTCAGTATACCGCACAGTCTCTTTGTGTCGATTCCGTTCTTCTTCCAACTACAACAAAACAAAAACCAAAAGCCTTTACTAATAACCTTCCCACCACCAGTTTTCATGCTACAATTGTACTGGAACACAGCCACAGTACTCCACCTCCATAACTGTTTAAAGTTACCTCTGTGCTGCAACTACAGAGTTAACTGAATTGTTGAAGCAAGGATCCTCTGGCTCACAGAGCCCAAAATAACACTATCTGGCCCTTTACAGAAAAGTGTATTGATCCCTGCTCTAGGTATGAAACACACTATTCCTGATTTTAGCTATGTCACCAGGTACTCAAACTGACAAAACTGGAAGGCAGGCACAGTACTATGTGCCCGTAGTCCCAGCCACTCAGGAAGGTGAGTCTCCAGACCAGCCTTGGCAATACAGGGAGATCCCCGTGTTGCAGGAAAAAACCAAAAACAAAAAACTTGGTAAAATGGGGACAAAGAGGAAATTCCTTTACTCATACTGTTCATTTAGTTGTATTTTTATATTACAAGCATTATACTGTACTCTCATATTTTTGTATTCCAAATACCATTCATCAACCATGATTGGAGAACAGTGATACTAATATGAGCATTACACTTCATAACATCTAGATGGCTCCTGAAACTGAGAAACAGTATCTACACGGAAGCCAGGATGCCTGGGCCTGAGTCCCAGCTCCACCAGTTACCAGCAGTGGGATCTTAAGAAGATGAACTTTGTCTTGTTTTCTTCATCTATGAATTGGGAGATAACTACAGCATCTACAGCTCACTAGACTGCTGGGAAAATTAAATGAGGGACTATACATAGAGAGCTTAGGAAAGCACGCCACACACAGTGAGCTTTATAAAATCTTTGCCATTGGGTATGACTGTTTCTTATGTTTTTGATAAAATTTTGATATTTTAGGGATATCACTGCGGGCGCCGGCGGCGTCCTGGCAGCTGGATGGGCCCCCGGGAGCGCGGGCCCCGGGCGGCGATGGGCGAGGAGCGGGGCGCGGTGAGCGCGGAGTGCCAGGAGGAGGGCGCTGCGCGCCCCGCGTGCTGCTTCGTGTTCTCAGTGGAGAGTGAGCTGCGCCGCGGCCCCGCTGCCGCCAGGGCCCCGCCGCGCCTCGCCAGCTCCCCGGCCTCGCTGCCCAGCCCCCAGCGCCCAGCGGCACCGAGCTGGACCCGCACCAGGCCCCGAGCCCTTCTGCGTAGCGGCCTGCTGGGCGCGCTGCCCTAAGCCTGCCTAGGCGGGGTCGGAGCCCCCGCGCGGCCCTCACGGTGCTCCTGTGCCAGGTGTGCCTGGAAGACAAGCCCATGGAGCCCCTGCCCTGCTGTGAGAAGGTCAGGTGAGGAGAGTGCCTCAAAGTCTACCTGAGCGGGCAGGTACAGCTTGGCCAAGTAGAAATCAAATGCCCTATCACCCAGTGCTTCGAATTCCTGGAAGAAACAATGGTTCTACTGATAGCTTTTTACCATGAACAGCTGTAGAATTTAGTCTGACACTTTTTCTCCAACTAGTGACAGGATCATATGGCTTCTTCCTTTCCTCTGTTTAAAAGATGACTTTCAGAGGTGGATCTTCCAATGCTGAACCAACACTGCCATCCCTATAACAAAACCACTTTCTACATACTGCCAGATCTGACTTCTATTAGTCTGTTTCCTTAAACAAATTTCTATCGAGGTCTGCACACGCCCTACCCAGGTCACGAGTCCCGCGGAACACGCCGAATCAGCCCATTGCAGAAAGGCAGCCACCTGGTTCCACACTACAAAGACGCAGAGGACACCAGACCACCAGACCACTGAGCCCCGCTGCTCCCGGCCCAGAGGAAGGGGCTTCCCAGCCAATATCCCTCCCGCTGCTCCCAGCCCAGAGGAAAGGGCTTTTGGGCCATCTTCTGTCCTGCTGCTCCTGGTCCAGAGGAAGGGGCTTTTGGGCCACCATCCCTACCGCTGCTCCC